TTTGATTTGGGCTTGGAGCCACTAGATGAGGGGCTTCCAAGATTGATTGGAGGAAGACTAGGCTGACTTCCCTGAGTAACTGCAGCAGTTGGGTTCTGCTGGGCTTGAGCAAGAGCAGGAGTCGGAGCATATTGATCAGGTGGGAATTCTTCTTGAACAATTTCAAGAATTCTGGGAACATTGAACTTTACCCACCATTTAACTGTGTGTTGGCGAATGATGATATTATCATCAATTCCAAAGTGCCATTTGAAGATCCATGGAATTTTGTATTTGGCAATGAATATGAGTAATAAGGGAAATTGCTTCTGGTGAGTAGAAAATGGGTAGACAGAGTTGAAATAATGAATTATATTTTTGAGATCATCAGGAAGGATAGCTGATATGGCGCCATAGTGAGACCACCATCTTAGAAACCAGGTAGGTAATTCGGATTTGAATTTTTGATCAAATGAGATGAACCAAGAATGACTAAAAGTTTCATTTTGGTACAAGAAAATCTTGAACCAAGCATCAACGTAATCATGGTAATTATATTGAATAGAATGGCCAGGTAAATCACGAAGCTGATTAGGATTGCCCCATTCAGCCATGGAAACGATGTTGTGAATATAAAGTGAATGGTATAGGACCTTATAGGCGTAGGTGCGGTCCTGAATTGGCTTGATTAAGATGGAATGATGGTTGATTAAAATATCCTTGTAATAAGCTAGGGTTTTCTCTGGATGGGAAAGGGTGAAATGGCATCCAGAGCCAAAATGGAATTTAGCAATGTCATTGATGGTTTGATTTCTTGGGTGACTGGGTTCTTTATAGAATAGGTTGGTAACATGTGAATTAGTGTATTCGGATTTAGATGTTTTAACAGGGTTAACCGGGAATGGAGTAACTGAAACTGATTGGCTAGATACAAAAGGATCAGAGGCCAATGCAGATGAATAATCAGGACGATGAATAGAACCAAGGGTTTGGTAACGGTTAATGAGGTCGAGTGAATAAGAGGGGGTAACTGACTCCAAAGGAGGAGGGACAATGAGTTGATTTGGTTTAGTGGAAGAGGAGGCCAAAGCCTTGGAAGAAGGCCTTGGACGAGACATCTGTGAAATAATAAACAGTAATTAGCAACTAGAAAGGAGATCAAGATAATCTTGATGACGATGTAAACAATTGTAGTTGTGAGCAAGTAAATTGCGGCGAGCTAGAATTTGGTGGTAATTGATGTATTGGGCTCTTTTGGTAGTGGGTCTAGCTGATTTGAGGCGGTGAATGCGATGGGTAAGCTGTTTAATAAGGGTTTTGAAATAGGTAATTCGGGATTTATGGTAAGCAGTAAATGGTGTAGTCATCCCTTACCCCCCTGTAAAAATTCCCGGGTAAGAAAATCAGGTAGGGAATTTTGACAACCAGGTATATAGGTAATATCAAAATCAAAAATACTTAAAATAGCTTGCCAACGGGCAAAAATTTGTTTACTAGCAAGATTTTGAACATCTTTTTCTAAAATAAATTTGGCAGATTTGCAATCAACACGAAGTAAGAATTTTTGATTTAAAACATCATCTTGAAATTTTTGAATACATAAAACAGTAGATAAAATTTCTTTTTTAATAGTACTATTATTATTATTATTATTATTATTATTATTGAAGATGGTTGAGAATCACATTTTAAAATTATTTTTAGCCAATATTAACTAACAAGCAATGCGCCATAAGCTATGGTGCAAATAAATCATTAATTTTGAAACCCTTATGTAGAGACTCCTACAACCCAATGCATAATTGCCTATTTTTATATAATTCAAAATCTATTAATTCATATTTAATTGGATAAAAACTCTACTCAAATTTGAGGAAAGGAATCCTACATATTTTTAAGTAATTTTTATTTTTTTACAATCAAATCTCTATATAAAAATATATTTCTTCAACTTTTCAAACCAACTCCATTGTAATTGCATCTCTATTAAAGCAAATTTGATTTTTTTTGCAATTAAATCCGTTGTACTTGGTTTTATAATCTAAAAACAGTGAGAAGTTTGAGGGAAAAGAAACACACTAAAAACAGTATAAATTTTATCAAAACATAGATAGATTGATAGTATAACCTAATGTTTTTGTTTCTAGGCAAAGAATTCACGGTGCTAGTTTTTTAAGACTAAGGACCAAGCAACAGGCAAATATTATTGCTACATTTCACTGGTTATACATGAGCATAGCAATGAACATATTCGATCAAAGAATCTGTTAGGATTTGTTTTAGAGACCAAGATTGATTTAGTTCTTTTTAGGGGTGCATATTATATGTGTCTTATTATAAAAATGTGTAATTTTATCATAAAATTTTATGACATTAATTTACAAAATATGTAATCTAAATATGTAATTTTATCATAAAAATTTGTAAAATTAATTTATAAAATATGTAATTTCGTCATAAATTGACGTAACAAAATATCCAAAATTGATAGTTGATGTTGCAAAAGTTTGTGGCTTAGTTATTTTTTGTTACGTCAATTTATGGCGAAATTACACATTTTGTAGTAAGGTGCATATAGTATGCATCCCTAAAGGGTGCACACCATAACATTTCTCTTAAAAAAATATAATAAATTCTTCAATTTTGACATATTTATATTAAACTCTTTTGAAATTTTAATTCACATCATACTTAATCTCATTTTTATTAATAATTCATTAATTATATGAGTGAAAAAATAATATTGTCATCTCTTTTACACTTCAAAATATATTTTTTCTTAGACTCCGTTTGTTTTGACGTAAAATATTTTTATTTTCCGTTACTTGGTTGAACAAAAAGTAAGAAAAACATTTTTTTTTTTAAGGAAATATTTTTGTATCATTTTCTTAAAAATTACTTCTTTTAAAAATTTTGTAAGTCAATTTTTACAAAGTTGACTCTCATTCACTACTTTTTCAACACATTTAGTCTTTTTTAAATAAATATCTTAACTCACTAAAAAGTTATAAATGACACTTTATTTAATCAAATTTTTTCTTTTAGACAAAAATATTTTTTGTGTCAAATGTCAATCAAATGCCAAAAAATAAAAACAAAAACATTTGTTTTATGTAGAATATTTTATGTCGAAATAAATGCGGAGCATTATTTACCCTTGCGTCTTTGTACAATTTGTATTAATTTATGTCTCTTAAACCTTACCAAAAAAGAGATCAATAAATTTATACTCTCTGCAAATCTAAAAAAACATCAATGTAATTTACCTTTAGAAAAACTACATATGCATATATATGAATTGATGTAATTTACCCTTTCAAAGCTATATATACATACTATATGAGTAGGCACTGGTAAACGCAACAATGCACAATATTGTTTATAGTCATGGAAAAAAATTTTAAAAAAAAACAGTATTTTCACTAGTTTAACGAATAAATAAATGGATAAACTATGAATAACTTAAAATAATTGGACTTAATTCTCATTAAATCCTATTAAAAATAAATCTAAATAAAATCATGACTAAAAATAATTTTTTTGTGATAATTTTTTGTACGTCGCTAAAAATGGACAATTAGTGACCCCTTTTTTCACGATTTTATTAATTGTCGCTAAAATTTACAATTAATAACATTTTTTTGACAATTTTTAAACTGTAGCTGAAAGTTATAAATTAGTGACTTGTTTTGTGACTATTTTTTTAACTGTCCCTAAAATTTATAATTAGTGACATTTTTTGTGATAATTTTCAAACTCGCTAAAAATTAACAATTAGTGATGTTTATTAATAATCTTAAATAAAAAACGTCATTAATTATCGTAAGTCTTATTGAACAATAAGTCCACCTACAGTTAAATTCCCCTAAATAAATTACACTGATTTCCTTTGAACCTTACAATTATACTCACTTTTCCTTCTATAACAAGCATGGGAAAGGTATTAAATTTGATAATTAAATTTCCTTTTTATCCTGGTATTTTTGCCCTAAAAATTGCTTTGTATCAAAATCAACTAAATTAATTAAATAATCTCCCAAGTAATTTTGCCTCTTTTTTATTTGTTAAAAATAATTAGTATAATGACAATTAAAATTCTATTAAATAAAATAACTGCCAAAAATTGACAATCTTCCAAAAGAGTAGAGGTGAAATGCTACGCATTTAAAATTCAAAGCATGTCAAAATTATGGACCTGGTGCAATGCACAACAAGGATGTTGTGCGAGTCATGAAACTCACTTTGAATCTTATTTTAATGATTTGAATATAAATTAAAAAATATTAAAAAAATAAATTTATAAATTTAATTGATTAGATATCGATAACAGCATCAAATCATATCTATAAATTAAAAAAATAAATGTATGTATCAAATTATGGACCTGGTGCAATGCACAACAAGGATGTTGTGCAACCCATGAAACTCACTATGAATCTTATTTTAATGATTCGAATATTAAAAAATATTAAAAAAATAAATTTATAAATTTAATTGATTAGATATCGATAACAGCATCAAATCATATCTACAAATTAAAAAAAAATAAATGTATGTATCAAACTAAATATAAATGTGATTTGCTGAAGGAGCTATCGATATTCAATTAATTTGATTGTTTACAGGAACGTTCTACTCAATGTTCCTTAAAAATTGAACGGTTCAAATTATTAAAATAAGACTCGAAGTGAGTTCCACCAGCCACACAATAGTCACCAATATGCCTTACGCACGTCAATATATCACCAAATCCGACTGTTGTGCATTACACACAATGACTGTTCAACTCGTGAGACTCACCTCAGGTCCAATTTTGATAATCCAAGCTATTCAATTTTTAGAGAACATCAAGTAAGACAATTCTTTAAAAAATCATGTTGATTGACATGGACAGCTCCAGCAAACCACATTTTCAAAAAAATGAATACACAGCAGTGACCCAAGGCCAAAAAGGTCAGTGTATTTTACCCTTGAGAATTTTAATAATTTTATCTTTGAATGAAAATGCTGATACATACATGAAGGGTGCAATTACGCGTGTACAGAACCAAAACAGCCCTCAATGGGTTGTAAGCTAACATTTTTAAGAGCTGGTCATTGCCCGCCAAGTTACAGCAGAGTACCTAAATAAATGTTTCCAGACTTCAAGTTCCAACACAATTTTTTTAAAACAAAAATGTTAACAAGGATGAGTAAGACTCCAAATGTACAACTACACTCAAAGAGGGGGGCAAAAAAAATTAAGAACTCAAAAAAAAAAAAAAATGAGATTATTTTCTAACCTTCCAAGTAAGACCTAGTTGGGCCAAAGGTTAGTTCTTGATAGTACAACTGATCCCCACCTGGCCACAACAGCAATAAGAAAAGCTCTAACCTTCTTGTTGCAGCCTCAGATACCAGAGAACTCCATATCAACTAAACATAAACCTCTTTCTCACATGAGATTGATCGCGGGGTACTTCTGACGGTTTCTGCTCTTGCAGGATCCCATGAATATGATGGTCTCTAGATAGTATTTACTACTATACACAGACTAGTAGTTCAACCTTTGTGTAGTTCACCGCTTTTGCTTCTGGGAAACAAATCGAATTCCATGCTTCTCGAGTTCCAAGTTTTTGGCCCTTCCATCATCTAGAGCAACAGATACAATGGATGTGTCTTCGGTGACGCCTTTTACCATTCCCTTATGCCTGAAATCAAAAGAAATTGAACGTTCAATGCACCACAGAAAACTCTCCATAAATAATAGAATCAGCTAGTGTTCTTCCCAGAACCCTATGGATCTAAGAAGAGCATCGTCATGCTAACATGGAAATTTTCAAAAAGGCACAATACATAAAGGACATGTGCAAAATACATAATAATATGCCAAACAAGGATAAATAATTATTACATGTCATACAATTTGTAAAGCCTAAACAATGAGAATAGGCAAAATTTTAAATTGCTTTTGTTTTATCATTAAATTTTAAGAAGGATAATAGGTATAAATTAATATTGTTTTTGTTTCATCATTAGATTCCAAAGTATTTTATTCAAACTTGTAATGTGCTTCATGTGTGTCAAGTGTTAGGAAGTGTCTAATGAGTGTCTTTTTGTGACGTGTCATGTTGGTCTTAGACATGACACGTTACCTTCTTAGAAGTGTCCATGCTTCTTAGCCTAGGGTTTTGTATATTTCTTTTTGATGATCTTCAAAGAGGAACTCACCAGGTATTATCAGATGGCTGATGAACTTCCACTCTCTTCCCAATTGCATCTTTACCCAACTTCCGCAGTATCCAATTAGCATCCATGATCTCATTCATCGAATTGTCTTCATCCCACAGGGACGCATCCCCATCCTCTTTAGTCGATGTTTTCTCCATGAAAGGCAACGGTCTCTTTCTTTTAGACCTTTGGCCCTTAACAGAACTCTTCTCATCCTCAACATGAGGAGCCCAAGAATTTTGATTTTCATGATAAGGATTCTTGAACTTAAGCTTCAGCAAAGGCTTGGAATCCCTCGGCAAAAATTGTGAGCCTGAAGGTGTGTGAGTGCTATCATCAGGCCTACCTTCCATGTTCTTCCTTAAAGATACCTTGTCACTTCTAATTGCAGGGACATCAGCTGCAGTCTCCGACACAGCTTTACTTTCTTCAATGCTTCGTTTTCCCAAGGAAACAAGTGGGTTCACCAGAGAAACAGATTCATGTTCATCAGCCATATTACCTCCACCAAATTTAGGCTTTATGTCAGCAAATTCTGAGTTTATTTTTCTGATCTTTATTAAGTTGCCTTCTTTTCCTCTCGACTTTGGACCTTTTAGTTGGTCAGAGTGAACTTCTTTATCTCCTGCAAATGAAATAAAACTCAAATGATGTTTATAATCATAAAGGTTATACAAGGGCGTCATCTTTTACTTATATATGTTAACAATGATAGCATAATAAACAGGATATGTACTTCCGAATAGTGAACCAATCTCACATACAATACCTTTAGGACCGTCAAATTTTGCACGTCCGTCCAACATTTGCCTGTTATCTATTTGCTCTTGACCAACATCTTCACTGCCTGTTCATGTACATGAACAAGATAAGCGTAACCCACTCCAAGCTCACAAAATGCAAGGCAATAACAGAGGGTACATATGAAGACTATGACCATTTGTCATAAGACTATTGGTCTAGGTGTTACAGTACTCTTACTCTGAAATTGTATTAAGCAGGATAACGGCACATTATTATTACTATCCTATATTTTATCCTTGTCATCAATATCAATGTAATCATATTTTGACAATTCAATTTATGCAATCTCAATAGACCAGAAATCTATTTTTTCAACTAAAAAACATAATTTCCAAGTAAGCAAGTAAGCAACTTGAAAGAAACTCACTCCGGTTGAGAAAGAAACTCGCTCCCAACTAAGATAGAAACTCTTAAACATTCAAATATCAAAGAAAGAAAAGAAAAATGACTTTAACTTATTATTGTACTCTCTATTTACATAGTATTTATTTATACTTGACAAAAACAATTTGTAGTCGACATCAACCTCAAATATTTGTATTTTAATTAACACATATATCACAACTGTGTAGAAAAATATAATTAATAAAATATATTTACATATTTTATATACATGCTCCCATAGACGCTTCCAACTTTAGAAACTTCTATATACCCATCATTCCCTCGCATTCCTGCCCTTGCTTTCGTGCAAACTAAATCAAAAGTTCTATCATGCAGAATTCACAATGCACCATAAACCTCATCTAGTCTCTTAAAGTACAGCATTCTGAGTACAACCTTTTGGAACACAAAAAAAAAACAGAAATTAAGTAGTTCATCAAGTTTCTGATTTCAAAGTTTGCCACTTCTATTCCATTTTCGCAGACCAAATCGCAGTCAATATGAAGTGACTGGAGAATGTTTCAAGAAGGCTTGAGTTTTTTTTTTTTTTTTTTTCCTAGGATTCCAAAAGCTACAAGAAATTAGTCATGTTATTCTAAAAGTCTGCATATAGCCAGCCATGCTATTCTTTCAATTCAACCAAAATGGTTTCAGAGAAATTTTCTAGCACTTGTGCGCTTTGAAAATAGTCCAATACAATTCTAATCCTTCCTTGGTCCAATGCCCAAAGGCTTAAGAGTGACTGCTAGGATATTCTGCTTTTTTCTCCTCAATTTCCACGCCCATACTACCCTCAAAAAACTCACAACTAACCTTAAACAACTCTATCAAAAGACCATTCCCACAAATACTAAACTATATATCACTGGCACCCATAAGAAACAATCAGCACATGTTACTAATGACATGTATTTTCACAGCCCAAAAAAATGTTCCTCGTAAATTAAAAGCAAAAAAACCTATTACCCTCAGTTGCATATTTTAAAAACTATAACTTCATGTCATTTGCTAGCTTTGCCAACAAATTAAACTGTCTTGGAGCATGAAATCAAGCAATGACTGCACTATCCTTTGTTCTTGTTATTTTTGGTGGAGTAAGTAGCTCTACCAAGAACCAACATAGAGATTTCCTATGATGGCTTCCTAAAAAGAACGGACACGGACACATGACATGACATGACGTGACACGGACATGACATAGACACAAACACGTGGGCACAAATTTTTCAAAAAATGGGCGATGCAACATGTTGGGACACATGCAAAACATATAACTTTATATATTCATTATATGTCATATTTTCAAATATTTTATATTTATATTTATTATATTTCAAATATTTAGTTTCACCAAATTCATCAACCTTAGAGCATCTCCAACGCTTAACTTCTTTTTTCATTAAATCTGATGAAAAAAATGACGATTTTTTCAATTTGATACGAGGCGCTCCAACGGTGAGCATCAAAACAGAATTGGGGAAGTGGTCGACCGGTTGGTCGACCGGCCGGTTGACCAACCGGTCGACCGTTATTTCAAAGGAAACCGGTTGGTCAACCGGCCGGGCAACCGGTTGGTTGACCGGTGTACCACTTTCAACGGTCAGTAACAGTGATGTGGTAAAATCTGTGTCTTGGTCTCAGTTTGATATTTTGTTTGCTGAATTCTCATTTTGATATGACTTTGGTGCAACGGTTGGAGCTTGAAAAAGTAAGTTTTTCATCAAAATTTGAATTTGATGCTGGATTTGGTTCACCGTTGGAGATGGTCTTATGCTTTATCTACAAGGAATTGTGTGATTGATTACCTTTGCTTGCTGTCACGTTTGCATTTTGAGCAATGTCATGAGGTCAGAAATTCTTCCATAACAGTTTATTTATTTATTGTAATTTGTTTTCTAATGACCCCACACAAGTGTCATGGGAATGGAATTAACATTACCAGAAGACAACCTGAATCAACACACATTTTGTCACACAAGATTCTGCCAATGTGTCCGTGTCTGCATCCGACAAGTGCTGACACATGTAGATTGTACATGACCTCCGGAGAGGTGTTCGTACTTTACAGATGGCTTCTTCCCTCCATCATCCTACCTTTTCATTTAGAACAGAAAATAGTCGTAAGCTAAAATGTATGGACACAGACATGTAACACGTGGATACAACGCAAACACGCTGACACGCTTATTTTCAAAAAATACAAGACACAAATATATAATTTATGTATTTATTATATATATATATGAATATATCATTCAAAGATAATAAAAAATGTAATATGACACTAACTACTAAAAATTTATATAGTTTTTGTTTTATTATTGTATCTCAAGTTATTTTATTCAAACTTATAATTAGCTTTACCTGTGTCAAATCGATAACGTGTGTTAAACGATAGACATGTGTGTCCTCCAAGTATCCAAAGAGTGTCCGAGTCTTTAAAAAAATTAAAAAAGAGGACGCGTTTTGAAGTGTGTTGGACACATGTCAAGGAAGTGTCCAAAGAGTATCAATGTCTGACACGGATACGTCACCTTCTTAGAAGTGCTCATGCTTCTTAGGTTGTAAGAGAACGAGGATGCAATATTAAGTAAAAATTCCATGGTGCAAGGAAGACAACAAACAAGCAGCTTATTCACAGTATCGGCAAAAACGTAAAATTGCACATGCAAAGTCAAAGTTACCATGCCACCATGCATCAAGACTCACGGATCTTATCAAAGTTTAAGAACATAATTTTTAACCATCTATCATAGCCAAGCTTTAAGAAATATACCTAAGCATAAACATTTAGAATAAACCATGTTGCATTTGCTGGGAAGGGTTTTAGAATAAACCATGTTGCATTTGCTAGGAAGGGTTTTACAATTTTACTATGCTTCCTCTAAGACAAACTCAAAAGATCACAAGTTTAAACAAATTTTCAATCAAAAAGAAAGAAAGACCTTTCAAATTGGGTAAATTACAGTCACCTCCCTTGTAGTTTATGACAATTACACTGGCCTCCCCTCCTTATTTTGAAATTACACCTACCTCCCCTATGACTAATAGCGTTAATGGGAGGGTTAGTTTATTTTTGTTGATAACTATTAAATGTGCAATTATTATTTTGGTTATGCCTTATGTGGTGTTTGGTTATGACTCAACTTTTTTAATTATGACTGAAAAGATTTTAGTTATGACATTTGTGGTAATCAAGACAACATATGTTATAAATTGTATATAGTACACATAAAATGGTGTGTATTCTAGAATAAGATATTGTTATGACAAAGTGATGATGAAACAAATTAAAAAATTAATTACATAAATATAAGAGAGGTGTTTTGGTAGTTTTTAATCAATACTAGACATAATACAGTTCAGTTGTCTTCCAAAAGATAAAATAAAATTGATGAGTCTCACTATCTAAATTAATAAAAGTCAAACTGGGGCACCATATGTATTTATATGAGTAGTATTAAATAATATTTCTAAATACTCACATGATTTTACTATATATATATATAATTTATTGCATTATATACATACAAGTTTTTGTATTTCTCATTTAGCTTCAATAATTCATACTAATTTGTTTACCTAAAAAATAATTCATTGATATCTTTCATTCTTAATTTACAAATAATCACTTCAAATGTTATGCAAACCAAATTGAAGTCCCCTTATGTGCTAATCTAACATGACTTTCGCCAAAAATAAAATAAAATAAAATAAATACATAACCGTTAGTCAAACTAACGGTCAACTAACAGAAAGGGGGAATCTGCAAATCAAAAGTAAACCTCAAAGGAGGTTAGTGTAATTTCAGAAAAAGGCGGGGAGGCCAGTGTAATTGTCATAACCTCAAGGGAGGTGACTGTAATTGACCCTTCAAAATTAGTTAGTTCAAAGATCATGAAACAATATACATGTATATAAATCACATACCATTGGAAGTTGTTAATTCTTGCTCTTTTTGATAGCTTGAAGCGTCAGACCTTGGAGAACTAGTTAAATTTCTATTCCGTGCACCCAAATGTATAACAAGCTTTGGGCCCTTTGTGTTTGTGGCCTTGGACTTGCTAGCATCCTTTCCAGCATCACCCCCAATACCAAAGCCTTGAGGTTTACTATTAATTTGAACCATTCTTGATTTCATATTTGCATTGCCTGCTGTAACCTCATCAATAAAACTGTGTTTCAGGACAGCTGCCTGATTGATAGAGCATATCCCTTCACTTAAACTTCCAGCAACAGGAGAAGAAAAAGGTTCACTTCTATGGGACTGCATGTCATCATTCTTATCATCAATCCCACTGTACCCAAATGATGGGGGATCACGATGTCCTTCAAAATTATTATGAGCTTCTGACTTGCTGATTAAAGATGAATGATATCCCTTCTTCTTAGCATACTTCTTATTGGAAGATTTCTTTCCATATTCCTTAGTCTTCTTTGGTGATTTATCCACTATCCCTTTAAGAGAAAATTTCAAGGAACGACCATATTCATTCTTTAACATAATAGGGCCACTTTCTTCATCATCTGAATAAGGTGAGATAGAAAATATTTCTTCTTGAGTTGGCAATCCAGCAGTAGCCCTCAAGCTTGCAATTAAATCGCGGTCGGTTTCGTCTCTCCTCCTCCAAAGCTCCTGAACAGCTTCCTCAAGATTACTCACCTAATAATTTAGTAAAAGAAAAAAACAAAAGTTACATTAGCAATCAATTGCAAAGCATACTCATCGAAACTTTCTTGAACACAATACGCACCTGGTAGCACTCTCCACGGCAGGTGGCACATTTGTATTGAAGATTTCCATCCACTTGAAACTGCAGATATTTTTCATCACTGCAAAACATTGTCAACAGTTGTAAGCAATATTATATCACAAGATGATTTCCAAGGAATCCAAACTAGTTCTATCCATTAAACCCAAAAAAAAAAGGTTACGTATCAAAAAGGAGAAAAAAAAAAAACAAGGAAACTGTCATAAAGGCACAATGGTGTCTCAGCCTAAAACTCAGCAATTTATGGTAACCACGCAAACAACACAAGGCCAGATACAATAGATACAACAAATTCTGCCAAGATTGGTGTGCCTAACCTACTTCAATTGTCAGTTACACCAAGTGCTAGTAACACTTTGCAACAAAAATGCACTGGAAGTCTTAATTCAGTGGTAATGATTTTATAAAAATAAATAACTGCATCCCAGTAGTTCCCCATCATCTCAACAGATAATTTATGATTAATTAAAATTTAAAGTATCATCATAATTCAAACCATGTTTTGAAAGTAGAAGATCTGATTTGAGAGGCAAGTTCAGAAAAAAGAAGTAAAAAATCTTTGCATGTTTCCATAAATGCTCTAATTTTTTTCATTTCAGTACTAGGTAGTTGTTACCTATGGGATAACAAACAAGGGAGAGCGGGAGTGCGGGAGAGCAGTATTCCTAACCAATTGCAAACTGAATAACCAAATTATCATATAAAGTTTATACAACAATTTTAAAATCTGTAACCACAGGAAAAATGGCAACTTGAAATGGCTTGTTCTTTGTTATCAACGACTATCCATTCTCACAACTAGAAATATTTAATTAACTGTCGCAGCTCGAGTGCCAACAAAGGTTTTTTTTTTCCCTTCTTTTTCAGAATTTGGGGTTGGGGAGAGCTAATGTAATTCAATAAACAACATGCATAGATGTAGTAGTCTACCAGTGTAATGAAACACACATGTCATGCAAATGAAAGATATGTGTTAATCCCACGTAGTAAGGTAGGTCGAGTAACCTTGTTTAATGATTCATAGAAGCTTTAAATCATTGGCCGGACAACTTTAATAAGTTCTGGAAGCCCAAATCAACAATTACAAAACCTTTTCAGTCTGATGGATCATGGTCATGAATCAAGAACTAATTTCTGTTCAATATATTTTTTTTTTTTTTTTTTTTTTTTGCCTCATGTCCAATACTTTCACTCTATCTAGAATTACATGGCACATCTTTTCAGCCTCAGTTCTTCTTTAGACCTATTTCATTTCACCATGTGTACAACAAAAGCTTCCTAATCCTCATCAATTTATACATTAATCAATACTAGGGCTGCAAACAAACCGAGCCAAGTTTTACAATGTTTGAGCTCAGCTCAACTATTTATCAATGTGTTTGAGCTTGGCTCAAGCTCAAATTGAGCTAGAGCAGCCCAGCTCAAGCTTAAGCTTTAACAAAACTCAAGCTCAGCTCGAGTTGGCTCGTATTTATAAACTTTTTACCTTTACAGTTTGCCTCAAATGATGTGCAACTGATGGATAAAAGCACCTGGACTCTACGCTGATGCCCTATATGAGTCTCAAGTATCCACTGAATGTGTTGGGGAGCCATGTGGGATGGATAAAAAAAAAATGAAAACAAACATTCGTAAGTTGGTTGTGCTGCACAGAATCAAGGCAAGCTCAAAATTGTGTAGACTTGCAAACTCAAGGAAGCAACTAGGTGATCCATTAGAAAATTTGTGTAGTCCTGAAGTTTATCTTTTATTTTGTAAAAGTAAGAAATAACAATGACTCATTACCATAATATTAGCGAAATTCTACAAAATACACCTCTAAACCATATGCTTTTTTATAACTTCACCACAATGATTTGTAACAAAACCACAAAGGCTCGTAACTTGTTACAAAAATGCATTATTTTTTAATGTTCGTAACATAACCACAATAATTTGTTACTAAAACTTTTCTTAGGGTGTTCCCCTTCATTGTACTTGTATTTCACTAAAAAACACAATGGCTGGACTTGATTAGAAGTTCTAATCAGCACGGACACGGACACGCGACACGACACGAATACGACACGAACACACCGACAAGTCAGTTTTCAAAAAATACAAGACATGACACGACACGTGGGGAACACACATGAAATATATAAAATATGTTATCTATATGAATATATTATTCAAAGATAATAAAAAAATATAATATGACACTAATTCTTATAAATTTATATGATTTTTGTTTTATTGTTGTATCTTAAGTTGTTTTGTTCAAACTTATAATTAATTCAACTTGTGTTTAATCAATAGACACGCATGTTTAAGAGATAGACATGTGTGTCCTCCAAGTATTCAAAGAGTGTCTGGATCTTTAAAAAAAAAATTTAAAATAGGACACATTTTGAAAAGTGTCGGACACGTGTTGGGGAAGTGTCCAAAAAGTGTCGGAATCTGACACAGATACAACATGGATACGTCACCTTCTTCAAAATGTCCGTACTTTTTAGATTAGAACTAATTAGGATGACTTTGGGTGGCATTAATTTCCCCAAAATCCATCATATGAATTAGTAATGACCACGGCAAAAACTGATAGTTCAACTGATGTCTCCTGCTGTTGGACAAAACTGATTTTGAAACTTGAAATTTTTAATTAAATAATTCTATCTTAAATAAACAACAAAATCAAAGAAAGAAAATAGAATTTTTGTGTTATAGTGTGGGCACATGAAGCAATGAATGCCATGGGATGGGAGGAAAAAGCCCATGGCACTGAATACTTCACGTGTGAGAGAAGAAGAGTGCATCTAAAATGGTGGCAGTCCTTGTTGTCCCACATCCCCGATGTATAGATGCATGAGACATCTCATCTTGTAGAAAAGTCTATGCCGTTACATTGGTAACTTGTCCCACATTAACAAAAGAATTATGCATGAAGAATCCTCTTTGTATAAGAAACACATTTGTGAGGTTGATATATTTTATATATTATGTTTGGAAATTAAATAATTATATAAAATAAAATTTAATAATGAGCCGAGCTTAATCGAGCCAAGCCTTGTAATGCTCGAGCTTGGCTCATTTTATAAACAAGCTGTATATTTAGGCTCGAGCTAGTTTTATTAAAATAAATGAACGAGTTTGAATGAACTACTAACAAGCCGAGCTTGAGTTGTTCATGAACGGCTTGGTTCGTTTACAACCCTAATCAATAACCAATTATTAACTCATACTACATGGTATATCGTATAACAGCATACCTCAAACAAACTTGATCTTCATTGATGTTCACTTCCAAGTTGCTTTTCATGGGATTTAAACTGAAGAACTATTAGTGTCCACAAACTTAGCAGTCTAATTTACTATGAAAGCAAGATCCAACCATCCAAGGTGAATATCTCATGAAATAGTTATACCTCACAGAAGCTGTTGTTTTCTTCTTTATATTGTTCATATGTATCTCTTTCAGGACTTAAAGAGGAATCTTCTTAAGGTACCTCTTATGAGATATAGAAGAAGAAGTAGAAAGTCTTCAATATCTAGTAATCTACTTCAAGGTGATTATACTTCCAAATTCGTTTATTTATGACAACTTCAAACAAAACATTGAAGAATATAATTTCCTACTGTGCATAATTATCAACACAATCAAAACAATGAAATAGCAACCACACTTGTGTCACAACTATGCCCTGTGGTTTTCAAGGAGAAGTAAAAGATACCTGATCCCATCACACTGACAGTGGACCCAGCGCTGGCAAACATCACAGCAAACCATAGGTGTTGATTCAGAATCTCTGTAAACCTAGAGCCATGGATGCAAACAGTTAGTCAACTTCTATGCAATCAGGTGCAAAGGATATCAAAGTTTCCAGTCCACAGAGAGAGAGAGAGAGAGATGGCTACAAATTCAGGAGAAAACTCACGTCTAAAGATTTGCACATACCATTAAAATATTCACAACCAAAGGTCAGTATAAAAGTTCACCACTCAATAAACTAACAGAAGCTGCAAGATTCAAGATCATCAAAAAACAAGTGATACCTTTAAACAAACAGGGCAGTAGTTTCCCTTTACAAACAACCTTCCACAAGCATCGCAGCAAGTATAACCTAGAAACCACCTGTAAGTTTAAACAGCAACAATCCATGAATTAACTTGTAATAAAAAGATACGTACTTTCAAATAAAACAAGTACACCAGGCCTTTTCCAAGATAAAAGTTACAACATGCATAAAGTAACTAGTTTGAATAGAGAAAAGCCCATACCAAGTTCAAAACCTTTCAAAACATGAGCAAGACGAAGCATTAAGATACAGTCAATAGCAGTAAGTAACACAGTTCCATAAGAGACAACATCTGAGATTTAAATTCTAATCGGTAGATGCTAAAAATCTTAGGGGCAGGCCAATCGTATGGGGATGACTTTCCACACACCTTACTCTTTCAATAAGAATTTGCCGTGTGGATGAATGCACTTCACTTGACAATATGTAAATTTTGGAATACAAATTAACTTCCATCAAGTATTTTAAGTATTCCAAAGAGCTTTGACTCCTGATAAATACAGATTATAAGTCTTCTTCTATGAAACCTTGTTAAAGAGTCAGTACAGCATGTAATAGAGGGCCAAGAATACTGGAGGAGACAGTCTTGTGGATTTTTTTTTCTTTAATTAGATCGTGGTATATTATCTTATCATATTAGGGGAAAATCAGACCCATGTACATATAGGCTAGCATCATCACTGTTTCCAAGACCTTCAGGGGTGTAATTTTGGCCCGCGGCCCGCCCGCAACCCGAGATGGGCCCGGCCCGTTAAGGCCCGAGCCCAAGCCCAACCTGAGGTCTTGGGCCAAGGCCTGGGCCATCATTTTGAAGTCCGGACTGGCCCATGGGCCGGCCCACTTGGCCTAGCCCGCCCAAAAGCCCGGCCCGATGTCCAGTGTCATTTTTAATGGAATATAATAAAATTTTAGTGGAAAAAATAAAAAAAAATTTAAAATTTTGTTTAGGCCGGCCCAAAGCCCGAGCCCAGGCCCGCCCAAAGCCCGAATACCTCTGGGCCTAGTTTTTTGGCCCGTGGACCGGGCCAATTTTTTGGCAGAGACATGGGCCGGGCCGGGCCGGGCCAAAATTACACCCCTACTTCCAAGTCATTAGCAGTATAATATTACAGGACTATAATATATCATTGATATAGTCAAGGTGACATCTTCAATATAATGAAAGAAAAAAGAATTGGAGAATAAGATCCCTGTCATACCGTTGCAGATCCAGCACAACAGAAAAACACTAAGCCAGCTAATTATCGGAGGCATAACGTCTTTGGTTCATGCAATGGACCCACAAGTTTCATCCTAGGCTTCCATGCAGTCAAGGGCCACGCTATGACCCCAATTAATGTCAATACAGGGGCCATCTTGCATCCAGAGCATGATAATTGATAAGCCATTTGATTCGAAGTAAGTAAAAACGAAGTACAAGAAGATGGTAACAATTAAACCTTCATTTTTGGGCAAATTACACTAAAACACCCCTGAGGCTTCTAACAATTAGAAACAAAATCCTTATGATTTCTAAAATAAGACTTGAATCGTCAAATACGTTCTCGTATCATATCGCGATTCAACTCGTACTGCATGATTAATTAATTTTACATTCTTCTTCCCCTTTGGCCCCATTAGCTACTTCTCTCACTATCAATCACTGTAGCTAACACTCATTAAACATTCAAAGAACTATATTAACAAAAAAATCTCATACAAAGAAGACCCAAATTCAAATAAACTCACAAGAAAAAATGACCCCTGTACTCCTTTTGCTGCAAGAAATTAAAGTACTATCATGAATCTAATTTGATTGAATTTATATAGATCTTATAGACTAATTTGGTAATTGGTTACATGATTTAGTAGTTTATTTTTTGCAATATATTTATTATCTATATTTAAACATGATAATGTATCTTAAGATACACAATACGATACAATACAATGCATAATACATAAAAGTGATATAACGATACAAAATATGTATCACAATTCGACAACATGGACCACCCACCCATACATAACCACAGGCATCCAAGGTGCAGCTATCACAATCCACCAAAACAAGGACACCACCACTTCTGTGACATCCCTGTTCTGTATTATGCTAATTGGTCCTTAAGTTGTTATGGTCATGTGTTTTGCATGATATGTGGTTTTGAATTTCTATCTGTTCACCGTAGGAATATCTGTTTGATTTTACCGCTTCGGAAATTAAATTGGAGGCCTTATCGGCTACAGAACCCGAAATTGATTACGCCATTATGATTGGCATAATTTTTAGAGCCTACGGTGAAATTTAATTGAAAATTGATTCTGGTCAATTTAAACTGATTAAATTGATAAATTAAGTACCCCATTATTTTATATTAAAATAATTGTTATGGGGCTTGTTGTATATTTGCATTGCATTCTTCTTTAGCTCTCTTAAAACTCAAAATCTGAGTTAGACAATTGAGAGTGAGAGAGAGGCGGCTATAGAGAGAGAAAGGAAGAGACTTGAGCAATTTTTGGCTCTAGCTTGGGAATTTGAAGATTTAACTCAAAGAATTGACTAGAATTTGGAAGATTAAAGCTCCTAGGTGAGTAACCAATCCTAACTCATGAATTTGAGTTGTGGATTTCGTAGATTGAAGATTAATTTGTGATCTAGAACATGAAAGGAGTTGGTTTTGAGAATTTGAAGATATATAATGCATGCATGTCTGTATGTTTTGAATTTGCATATTTGAGCTTGAATTACATGACTCATGTTGCAATTTTGGTTGAAAATCCATGTATTGACCATCTTTTCATCTATGAGATTGAGAATGAAGGTTATATTGTCACATGCATGTACAATCCATGGACCGTAGAGCCTTGAATGCATGAAATGGATTACATTGGTAATGAGTTGGTGAGAAATGAGCCATGCATGTAGATAAATTATGAAATTGAGCTTTCAAATATGTTGTAATTCTATGTTTGTACCATGTTGTAATGATTATGTTGAACGTTTGGACGAAATCATGCATTTAGAACCTTTGATGTCGAGATGAAGCTCAGAACTCAATCTGGAAACCCAGATTTTCGATGTCCGCGTCGAGCGGATGAAGTGCGCTCGATGCGGAGAAAACGAGCTCCCCATTTTTTTTGCAGACATGGTTCCCGCTCGGAGGGGGAATTTGACGCTCGAGCGGGGGAGCTATGTAGACGGCAGTACGCTCGAGCGGCCGAGTTCACGCTCGAGCTGGAATTGAAGCAACCAGTAACTTTTGGCAGACTATAGGGTCCGCTCGAGCGGAAGTTCACGCATCGAGCGGGAAGTTCACGCTTCGAGCGGGGACCCTATTTTCTGAAATCCCTGTTTTTGTGCATTTTTGTGTTCTGTTTTCCGTTCTCTTTCACTTGGCAAGCACTGCTTAGGCATATGTTAAGCATTGTAAATGAGTTAATGAGATAATAAAGCCTAAAGAGGAATATGTGAATTAAAGAACGGATTGAAGACTTTTTAATGACCCTTTTGTGTCATGAACGTGTAGGGTCAAGCTCCAGGGGCAAAATCCACAAGCCGATACTGTGAGTAATATAATATTTGAAAGCTTGTCACATGTCGCAATTGTTATTCCCTTATAAACTTTATGAGTTGTTAATTGGGATTGTGGACAAAAGTTTGACATGAATGAATGGGCCGAAGGCCGTTTTGACACGAATGAGTGGGCCGAAGGCCGTTTTGACATGAATGAATGGGCCGAAGGCCGTTTTGACACGAATGAGTGGGCCGAAGGCCGTTTTGACATGAATGAATGGGCCGAAGGCCGTTTTGACACGAATGAGTGGGCCGAAGGCCGTTTTGACATGAATGAATGGGCCGAAGGCCGTTTTGACACGAATGAGTGGGCCGAAGGCCGTTTTGACATGAATGAATGGGCCGAAGGCCGTTTTGACAAGAAAGGAAACCTGAATGGGCCAAGGCCAGTATGTTTGGAACTACAGTCACTTGATCTAAATTTTGTATAAGTATATATATATGTTAAGTAGAAATGTGAATTGGGCCAAAGGCCGTTTGGAACATGTTGTTTTACATTGTTATGTAATTTCTGCATTTGATATTATTCACTGGGCTATCGCTCACGCTCATGCTCATTTATGTGTTTGTAGGTGAGCCAAGGGAAGTCCAAACCCAGCCCCAGTGAAGTCTGCTAGGAAAAATCCGAGTTTTGAGGAAGTCAGCCTTGTGTCTCACTCTTGAGACCTACCCTTGCCATTTGTGTTATGTAATTATATTTTGTCTTGTCGGCAAGGACTTTATGTATATCTGTAAATAGTCCGTCATAGGTTGACTCGCTTTGTATGATCCTGTCTGTAATGAATTTTGTGAAACTGTACTTTTGATGTGGGTTATTAACGTAACTGAATATGGTCTGTTGATGTGCATGTAAGCACGGCTCTATGGACAAAGTTTTAAATTTTTGCTTCCCTTTTGGCCCCCTTTACTCTGATGTGTTAAGTCTGTTTTGGTTTAAGGCCGTAGGTAATCTTAGGATTACTGGCCGGTTACGTCCTTAACCCATGGGAGCGGGTTCGGGTCGTGACAACTTCCATCCATGCCACTGCTTGCATCACATACCCAATCACCACCATTGTAGCACCAAGTAACCAATCAAGGTCAGTGCACATCCCACCACAAGCAATCTCTACATCTCATGCCAAGACCACAATTTGTAGACTAAAACAGGGCATAATTTGCTGGTTAGAGGATCAGTTGATGGCTGCTAGTGAAGAGTACAATGAAAGGGTTTGATGGGTGTGGCCGTCACTCTGGCAATGTGGAAGTGGCAGAGGCAGTGTGGCAGCAGCCATAGAGGGAGAGGAAGTAGAGTTGTAGTAGGAATGGGTGTGGCAATGATGAAGGAAAGGGGTGGGAGTATGAGTGCAGATGCTTCTTTGTGTACATGTGTGCATGTGTGTGTGTGTCTGTGTGTGTGTGTGTGAGAGAGAGAGAGAGAGAGAGCAAATTACAAAATCAAGTGGGGTTGATTTGGTGCTGGTAACGCTGATTGGAATATGGCAATGCATTTGGGAAACGTTTATGATGCTTTGGACATTAATCTGCCGTGGTGATCCTCACAATTTCTAAGTAGATTGTTATGTGGTGAAATCCAATTGGAAGCTATGGAAACTTCATAATTATTTTTAAATTTGAACGAATTATGGAAATTATATTTCATTAATTTCAGTTAAGGATAAAATTGTCATATTAAAATTTGAAGATTATAACAAGGCAAGCGATGTTTCTACATATTGTCAGGTAAAATAAGGGATTGTTATAAATCTCAAGGGGAGTTGGTGCTAGTGTAATTTACCCTTTTTTCCTCTCCTTAAATCTCTTGATTACCCCCACTTATAACACGTATGTCATCATTTGTCTTCAAATTCAAGCATTGTGTATTCTGGAAGTTTTTTTGTGATTGATTTACATCAAGTTCGACAAGCCAACTAGAACTTCAACAAAAACACATGGCAACTAAGATGCTCCAAGCTAAAGTCCAAATGATAAATTCAGTTTTCGTTTGATTTAAACATACAACAGTAGAACTTTAAAGGAACACCTTCTACATACAACAAAACGTCAAGGGACAATGCTGACAGATAGGAAAATGCTGTTAACCATTATACTAAGAAGACAGAAAATCAGTATATGTAATTCTTAGCAAGCTCATCTCAAACAATTAACAAGCTCAAAGAAAAAATACCAAAATTTAACGCTTAAAAGAGCTTATCACTTGCACATGGAAAAGTAATTATTGAAACATCAGTCTATCATGTGCAAACTACTCAAATATAGGTATCTAAAACATTGCTAACAATCAATACCGTGTGCTTAGACCGTTTCCAGGGACATTAGATCCACAGCTGTGACACCTTGTATGTTTGGGGCATAAATAAGGTCCGCTGCCCACATTCTGCAATGTCCAATAATGACATAAGGCAACTGTTTTTAATTACAACCTATGTTACATAGACTTCTAAATTTGTGAATTACCCATGTTAAGACACTTGATGGGCATGCACCCAACAAGTATGTGTAAGTAATCAAGTTTACTATATAACTATGCATTTTTATGCATAAAATGCTTTATTTTAGCTTTGTAAACATCATTTGACCCTAAAAAAAAAAATTTGAAGGAAATATTTAAGAAGTGTGAAATCTAATTGTGTCCCTCAACTTTAAAAATAAAAATTAAAAATAAAAATTAAAAATAAAAATTGTGTCCCTCAACTTGAGAATTAGATAAATCTAACACTTGTACCCTCACCCAACACCCGTAACCGAGTCCGTGTAACAAAGATCACATCATAAAAAGCGGGCTAAGAAATGGACACCCCACCTTGTGCGGAGGTTGCTGGCAGTAACAATGGTATGCACCATCACACCTTTTACAGAACATGAACCTAGTTTGGTCTCCAGTCCTTCTGCAGACCTGTAGTAAACAGAATACACTACAGGCGTGAACAAATATAGAACCGATTGAAAACCAGTGCCACAGTGAAAAAGTGACAACAAACTGATCAATTGCAAAAGCACCAAAAGGATCCAAATGCAGAGCATCAAGGATGTTGATTCATTTTTCTAGCATCAATTAGACATAAATTTAGCATACACAAAATCAGGACAGAAAAGAAAAGCAAATAGGTCAACAGTCAGGAAAATCTACAGTTAAGGGATCATCGCAACAACAACAAAAAAAAAAGAAAAAAAAATCCCACATCCACCAGTTCTATTATTAGATTGACAGCCATCGGCTTGAACAAATATATAACTGATTGAAAACCAGTGTCACAGTGAAAAAGTGAAAACAAACTGATCAATTGCAAAAGCACCAAAAGGATCCAAATGCAGAGCATCAAGGATGTTGATTCATTTTTCTAGTATCAATTAGACATAAATTTAGCAGACACAAAATCAGTACAGAAAAGAAAGGCAAATAGGTTGACAGTCAGGAAAATCTATAGTTAAGGGATCACCGCAATAAAAAAAAAACCCCACAACCACCAGTTCTACTCTTAGATTGATAGCCATCACCTTAACAATGAGGTTCGTTCAAAAAGGAAGAAGAGGGAGACAATAAAATTCTTAAAAAGGCAAAAAATAGGCATATAGATAAGAGATTTGGGACAAATTTCACGTATTGCTGATGGGAGTAGATTATAATTGAAGGATATTAATCACATGAGCCAGTGACTACACATTACCACCTTCCAACTATATGCTCATACTCAACATGATTTCAGCAAATTATGGCAAAATCCAATACAGGTACACCATGGAGAACAAATATAGCATAAGATAGATATCATGATTACATAGTCCACATTTTTTAGTGTGACAAACTTGACCAAATGGCCATTTCAATTAGAAAGAAAAGTCAGTTACGAGCCTCCCCATCATTACACTTAATGGATTTGCCTCTGTCTGCTCTCTATTCCAAAATCATTGATACACTAAGAAAATCTATACACGACGTTTAAAAGAAACCAACTTTATCAAGAAATTTAAAAAAAATAAAAAATAGTTTTTGTGATTATTATACTTTTTTCTTTTCTTTTTTTTTGATAAATAAGTAAATATTATTAGAAAGTATTAAGATGATGCAAAGAATACAAAACGACAACCCCAATTAAGGAAGAACAAAGCAGACATTAGCCAATCACACCATCTAGAAAATCTAAAAAAAAAAATATATCCGAATCAACCTTCTTCTCCAACCAACTATACATAACTACAAGAAGATAATTCTCTAACCAAGACACATTATGATGAACCTCCAAAAAGGTCCTCCTATACCGCTCCAACCAAATAAGCCACATCAAACAAGCCGGCGCCAATGACCACGCTCCCCACCACCAACGCTCCAGCCGAACACCCCGCCAAACCCATAACATATCCACCACCCCCTTCAGCTGAACCCAAGCAATTCCAAAGAGCAAACAAATAAAACCCCACAATAGCGAAGCCACTGAACAATGGAGAAACAAATGGTCCATCGACTCCGCAACAGCACAACATATACAACACCAATTCACATGCCCATGCCCACGCCACATCAACTTATCCAACATGAGATTACGCCCCAAAGCTGCTGTCCACATGAAGAAAGCCACCTTAGACGGAACACCCGGCACCCAAACACTATTCCAAGGAAAAACCGGTTCTAAATCCCCCCACCAAACCCCTATAAAATGATGAAATTGAAAATAGCCCCTTTACCCCCATCCCACTCCACACCATAACATCTTGTCCCACACTAGTAATTCCCAACCCATACAAGAAGCCCCACAACTCCACCAACTGAGCAACCTCCCAATCTTGCACCTACCGCCACAGCTAAATATCCCAAACAACCACACTCCCAACCCCCAAATAGGATGTCATTGTAGCCTCTCGTTCAACCACAATGTTGAAAATCAAAGGAAAACAGGCATCCAATAGAACCCCACCACGCCATCTATCCTTCTAAAACCGCACCCTCACCCCATCCCCCAACCTAAAACCTACCCAATTCCAAAATTCCACCCTTCCCATCCAAATCCCTTTCCAGAGCCCACACCCATGAGTACTAGCCACATCCCCAAAGACCCAATCCCTCCTCCTTCCCACCCCATACTTGGCAGCCACCACCTTATGCCATAGCCTATGATGCTCCCAAGCAAAATGCCACAACCACTTCCCTAACAAGGCATTATTAAAAGTCACCAGCCTCCTAACCCCCAAACCTCTTGCTTTCTTAGGTTGACAAATCCATCCCCAATCAACCAAATGGTACTTGAACTCATCTCCTCCACAACCCCACAGAAAATCCCTATGAAGCTTCTCCAGCCGCTGAGCCACCGATACTGGAATAACATGCACATACATGAAATAGGTCAGAACTACCCAACACACTCTTAATCAACGTTAATCTCCCTCCTTTTGAAAGATATTGCCTCTGCCACCCTGCCAAACGATGCTGAACACGTTCCACCACGCCCTCTCACACCCCCTTCGCCTTGAATGAAGCCCCTAACGGCAAACCCAAATATGATACTAGCAAAATTGAAACCTTAGAGCATCTCCAATGGTTTGCCATTGGAGCTGCCATTGCTATATATAGCAGCTGCCATTGAATTTTGATACTCCAATGGCAAAACATAGCAGCTGCTAAATTTGAGAAATGCCAAAACTTGTGTCAAATTTGACACAAGTTTTGGCAGCTGCCATTCATGCCAACTCAGCCAAAACCAACGGTTTCCCTCCCTCCCTTCATGCCAACTCAGCCAATTCATCAAACAGATTCACAGATTCATAGAAAAAAATTATTATCTGTTTGTCAATTTGATTCATCAATATGACGAAAATTTTTCTTTAAAAACCCAAATCAAACACAAGAGATGTGATCAGAACAAGCCAATTACAACCGAGATTGATTAAAAATAGAAGAGAAAGTCTAAGAAATTAAACACAGTAATCAAGAAACTTTACTTGAATGGCCCAAGAAAATCACTAAATAAAAAGACTAAAAAAATTGAAAATTTTCCATTACATTTATTTTTGCAGAACTACAGGGGACAAAATAGGGAGAAACATGATGACAAATTTTCATTGAAAACTCAAATAAAAAACACATGAGAAAGGTTGATTAAAAATAGAAGAAGAAATCTAAGAAAATAAAGTGATCAAGAAACTTACTTGAATGATTAGTCATGGCCAAGAAAAGCACTAAATACACTGGAATAACAACCATGGTTGTTGCAAGATTGGTTAAGGGGAGAATATGAGAAACTATAAAGGGGCTTGAAGAGGGTTGATTCAGAGAGAGGGGGTTCCGATCTTGGAGGAGAAGGGGGAGATCGGGTTCCGACCGATCATGGAGGAGAAGGGGAGATCGGGTTCCGATCTTGTGCTCTGTTTGGTTTGGTTTGTGCTGTGTTTGATTTCGGCCATGGAGCAGAAAGAGTGAGAATGAGAGGGAGAGGAAGAGCCATGGAGGAGAAGAGTGAGAAGAGAGTGAGAAGCTCTAGATGCTTTGTCTTGATCTGTCTTGATCAAATATATTTCAATAAGGTGTTTGGTTTGTTTAATAAAGAGTCGTTGGGCTCTGTTTGGTTTGTTTAACAATGTATAATGTTTGGTTTATTTTTTCTATATGGTGTTTGGCTTATTTTTCAATAGATAATGTTCACTAATTTGTATTATTATTTAATATTTTTAATAAAGTATAATGTAAAAAAAAATATATATTTTTAAAATGAAGATAATTTTTTTAACAAATAGATAATTTTATTAAATGAAGATAAAATAATTTTAGCTGATATTAAATGAAGATAATTTTATTATAATAAAAAGACATTATAATATAAATATACAATTTTTTTCAATTTTTTCAATTTTTTAAGTTTTTTTATTTTTTATATTTGTCTAGTTGAGAATAATATAAATATATAATTTATTTAACAAACAGATAAAAAAATGTCACAAAAGACAAAAAAATAAACAAAAATAAAATCACAAAAAACCTATATCCAAACAACACCTACAAAGTTGGAGGGAAAGTTGGTTGAGATTTGCCAAAAATAGCAAATGACCATTGGAGCACCATTGCTATAATTTGGCAAAATAACACTATTCATTGCCAAATTATAGCAATAGCAACTCCAATATAGTAACAACCATTGGAGATGCTCTTACAGCCCAAGATCACAGCTGAGCTGGCATCCTAGTAACCTCTTCAACCGGGATAAGCTCTAACTTCCGCAAATTAACTCGGAGGCCCGACTTACATGTCTGGGTCTTTAATATATTAGCCAACGTAGGATACATGTGTCAGTCTCAACTTGCATGAGAGCAAGGTTATTAAAATCGAGATCCTACGTTTGACTCCAATATAGCAACAACCATTGGAGATGCTATAACAATTATCTTGAAATACAACTTATAGCCTACTTTTAAAAACATAGAGAAGGAATGACACTACAGTTACAAGTTGAACCTATAATGGAGCATTCGGATCCTCTAGAAGGCATTTCTCTGAGGTGATGGTGCAATGCACAAAACAACGTTGTTTTGTGCACTGTGACCCCAAAAAAAAAAAAATAGAGCAAACAACTAACACTAATAACGACTGGAGAGAGAGAGAGAGAGAGAGAGAGAGCGAAAACGAAGGAGGGAAGAGTAGTCCTTCAAAGCGACAACCATTGCTTAGCTCGTGAAGAGTAGTCCTTCGAGGTTCCCTCGTTCGCAACCCCATTCGATTCGATGTTGCGCGAAGCTTGTAAATCATTGCATAGTTTTACTAAGCTCTTGTTTGATTTGATGAAGAAAGTAGAGTGGGATTAGGATTTGGTAGGAAATTTAGTTCATTCTGAGATCAATTACGCAAAAAAAGGGCATAGCCGGTATGCTTTTCTGTCATATGTTAGTTTGGGTAGGTTTCAAGGTTTCAATCCAACAAAAATTGGGTTGGATTTGAATGGAATTGTATGCAATGTTAATAACTCAGATTTAGAG